GCAGAAATCGAAGCTGCGAATATTTAGACGAATCTCGACCGGAGACTGCTGATAGAAGCAAACGGACGATTTCAGGAGGGAGTTTAGAAGAAAAGCAGGTGTTGGTCAGGCTGAGGCGGTGTTCTCCGCAGAAGGTATATTCCCCTTAGAATTCCTTTTTTGCCTTGTGAGAGCTGGTCATCGGGAGAGCGTGGCCGTTGATAATGGTGGAGAAGTTGTCTTCCGGAGGAGGCGAGCGGAGGCGCATCAGGCGACCATTAATGAACTGCGTCGGACAGGAAAGTCGTCTCACGATGTTGTTCCGGAGGACAACGGCAACGCCTGCGTCACTTTACTCTTCACTGGAGCGACCGCATTAGTAGAACGCAGAGCCGGTCTACAATTCCTTTAGTTGTCGTTGTTCAGGGAAGCGAATCTTGTTGAGCGCAGCGATGTCTATCTTGTAGCCCGCCACCGTCTAAATGTTAACGCATATTCGAGGCCACCAGAGTAAGAGGACTCACACCAGAAGGTGACGGAAGGCGGAATGGGGGGAGAAAGTGCGAAAAAGTACAGGAAGATAAAAGAGAGTGTGTGCTTGTGTTTTGTCTTGCATTTTTTGCTTCGACCGCATGTTTAGCAGTCTACTAGTCAGGGTCTGCGCGCAAAGGGTCGGGAACCCTATATACCCCCATCTCCTCTCGCGGGGCATTTCTCCAATTTCATTATATAGGGCTGCCTAGGTATCCCAGATTGATACCGCTCTGGAGTAGCAAAGTGGCTAGCAGAGAAATTCAAACCCGCACAACATCAGCTAGCATCACACAGCAATCGAGATACCTTTGAATTCATTAAAGACATTAAAGACCTTAACCTCAGCGGCGTGCTGATGTTTTCGCTGGACTTCTCATCACATTTACAAACGCTCCCGTTACCGAGACAGTTAATTACATCTGTGAATTTCCATCAAACAATCAGCAGTGAATAGGAATTCCGACGAAGACACTCAAGGAACTATAACTAAGATGCAAATTTAATGTGCAGTTCCTGTTTGACACCAAACTATATAAACAAATAAACGGCGTTGCTATGAGCTCTCCTCGTGGACATCTCCTCGCCTATGTCTTCATGCGAAAATTCGAGAGATTCCAACTAAGCAATCAGATCAAAAACCTAAACATTACGGCCGCTATGTTGATGACGTCTTTACAATTGCCACAGCAGAAACCGACGCAGATGCCCTCTTAAACGCTGTAAGTCAGGCACATTCCTCTATCAGATTTGCGATGGAGATCGAAACGGCTTGTTCGCTTCCGTTCTTAGATATTCATCTAAACAAGAGACCTGACGGGAGTGTCCAAAAAGCATCTACCGGAAAAAACCTGGTGTGGACAATACATAATCTGAGCTAGTTTTATAGCCCTACAACAAAAACGAAATCTAGTCCAAAGTTTCGCGCAAAGAGCTAGAAGCATTTGCTCAACAGGTAGCTTCGAGCAGGAACTTAGAAAAATCCAGGACTTCCTTCGTGAAAGCTGGTGTCGGGACAGATTTATTGCAAATATTATGGCCGAACGACCGGTAAAACCCGCCACACCGACTGCCGAAAAGGAAATTGTGTTCCTTAAAGTCCCTTCTCAAGGGGACGCTGCGATTGGAGTCCTAAAGGGACGCCTTGATCAAGCTGTTTCGCGAACCTTTCAGCGGCAAGGGTTCCAGTATCCTTATCTACTAACCCTATTTTACGCGGAGAAGGTAAGGATGCGTTGCCACAACAGACCACTTCAATGTGAATCTTTTCCTTCACTTGCTCCTGTGGAGCAGGTTATATTGGTCGCACGAGTCGGCGTTTATCCAAGAGAATACGGGAACAACTCCTGGCATGGCTGGCAAAAGGCGAAATTAGGAACATAAGCAGCGCCATTCTCGCGCATGCTGTCGATTTCAAACACAAAGTAGACCGCAATAAAGCGTTTCGTGTGACCTATAAGGTCCCAGGCTTAAAGAATTACAGAGGCTCCAGCAACCTGTGTCAGGATTAACAAAAAACTCGTCTCCCCTTGCAGACACATTATCGCAGTTGTTTATTACAGTCTACTTGCTGCTCTGGCCTTAACTTTATTGTCGTAGGCGGAATCCAAAAGACGTCATCCATGCTTCTCACACTTACGTCAAATGTATTATGCGGTACAGGGAAGAACACCTAGTAATACGTTGGGACTGATTTTTTATCATGTGGATCTGTGGAATGAATCGCTTAGCAAATGCCGTCTCGGCAGTCAGCATGCTGTTTGAGATTTTTCGAATTTCTAAATTTATTGTTTGCCTGACGGGCAAATTAATTTAGATACAATTGAATTCACAAATGAAGAACTGGTCTCTTAAGTTTATTTCCTTGAGATGTTGGCTGAGCAGAAGCACACATCCTTATTCTCGCTGAGGTCAACCAACCCGACCTGGACTACTTAAGTTTTCGTAATTTTCGCAAATTGATCTGATCTGCGGTACCAATGACTGCAGACGTCTAATTCCTGTGCCTTATATTTGCACGGTAATGTAGTGTCCTTACTCCCAGCGCTTGATCCAACACTATGCCTCTCGAAAATGTCTGCATGTGTGGTCCGTGCCTGTATGGCATTCGTCCACCGGCTTTTTAACTGACCAACCAGACTCAAAACCTTGCCCGGACTTGCCTGCCTTAAGACGCTTTGACGCATACCCTGACACAGACTAGGGACACCACTCACGAGACGCTAGGCGTTGCTCCATCAGACTGCTCTCCAAATCATTTTCTAGTTTTTTTGCACAGACTAGCAATCCTCCCAACTGGTCTCCATCTAGTCGTTCGATTCGGGGTCGGACCTGAACCTCCTGCAAATAATCTGCTATTTTTACTTATGTTGTTAATTTTATCGAAACCCTTTTTGAAGCTTCACGGTGGATTTTTCTAACAAAAGTGTTTAGGCAACCTGTACTATTGTCAGAAGTGAATGATTTCGCACATTTCGGTAGGCTCCATGGTTGCTTGGGATGCATTTTTAAAAAGACCGCTGTGACTTGCGGTGTCGGATGGGTGTGGTTGGTGTGAATTCTACGTTGAACGCAGGCTTTCGGGCCTCTACAGACAAAACGCAAATATTCATTCACCCTCAATTTCAAGAGCATTGCGGACCTGTGCAGGCTTTAAGCGATCGGCTTTAAGTAGGAGATCAGGGGATATGATATATTGACATATTGTCTGATGAATGTACAAACCAATTCAATTGAAATGCCAAAAGCGAATAGCCGGTCATCTGAAAAAACACAACTGATGTAATAAAAACAGAAATTAGAACGGCGGAATTGATTGAAGTCAACTTGCAAAATTTTGCCGGCGTTGATATGACGTAAAAGACTGACAGCGGGGAAAATTCAAATTACAATCAAGGCTCTAAACACGTCAAATAGAATGAGCAACGTGCAAGCTGTCAGTTTAATTCCATCTCGGTCATGCGCTCCGTTCCGTTTTTTATGCGTATAATGGAATCCATAAATTCTTTCCGAGTAAATCGAAGGCCTTCAAAAGATTTTAAAAGTAATTACTAAAGCTGCCACTAGATTCCTACCAGTGTCGCTCATATTTCATAGTTGTATCGACATATTGGATTATACCATCGGTAGTCATTGTAAAAATCATGAAGCTGAGCTCGGGTTGGTTGACCTCAGCGAGAATAAGGATGTGTGCTTCTGCTTAGACAACACCTCGTTTTCCCAGACTGACAGGGTGAGCCCGCTCACTCTGGCAGCCTGGAATGTTCGTTCCCTTTTAGACAATCTGAGGAACAACCGACCGGAACGGTGACGGCGCTAGTGGCACGAGAACTGGCGCGCTACAAGGTGGACATCGCCGCACTCAGCGAGACCCGATTCTCCGAACAAGGCCAACTGGAGGAGGTGGGTGCCGGTTACACCTTCTTCTGGAGTGGTCGACCCAGGGCAGAGCGACGAGACGCGGGCGTCGCCTTCGCCATCCGGACCGACATCGTGGGACGACTGCCCTGTTTGCCGCAGGGCATCAACGATCGCCTGATGAGCCTCCGCCTGCCTCTCTGGGGAGGCAAATTCGCCACCATCATCAGCGCCTACGCTCCGACGATGACCAACACCGACGCCGTCAGAGACAAATTCTACGAGGACCTGCACGCCCTCTTGGCGACTGTGTCGAAGGCGGACAAGTTGATTGTCCTTGGTGACTTCAACGCCCGCGTCGGCGCAGATCATACTGCCTGGAGGGGAGTGCTGGGTCCCCACGGTCTCCGCGGCTCCAACGACAACGGTCTGCTTCTCCTCCGCACCTGCGCAGAACACCGCCTCATCCTGACGAATACCTTCTTCTGTCTGCCGGTGCGAGAGAAGGCCACCTGGAGGCATCCTCGGTCGCGTCAGTGGCACCTGCTGGACTATGTCCTCGTCCGGAGGCGAGATCAGCGGGACGTGCTGGTGACGAAAGCGATCGCGGGTGCTGACGGGTGGACCGACCATCGCCTCGTCATCTCGAAGATGCGTATTCGCCTACAGCCTCGCAGGAGACCACAAGGTAAGCGACCCCCAGGTAAGCTGAATGTTGCTTTGTTGTCTCTGCCTGCTCACCGTCTCCATTTCAGCAATGAGCTAGCTCAACGGCTAGACAACCTTCCTATCGCTGCCGCCGCCGACGACGCCGCCGCCGCCGCTGCCGAGAACGCCTCCGTGGAGAACCGCTGGTGTCAACTGCGTGACACGGTCCAGTCGACGGCGCTCGCCGTCCTCGGTTGCGCTCCCCGCCAACACCAGGACTGGTTCGACGACAACGACGCTGCCATCAGAAATCTGCTTGCCGAGAAGAACCGCCTACACAAAGCCTACGTAGAGCACCCAACTGAGGGCAACAAAGCTGCCTTCTACCGCAGTCGCCGACAGCTTCAGCAACGACTGCGCGAGATGCAGGACGCCTGGACTGCTCGCAAAGCTGAGGAGATCCAAGGCTAGGCGGACCGGAACGAATGGAAGAACTTCTTCTCCGCGGTCAAAGCTGTCTACGGTCCGCCGACGAAGGGCACTGCTCCTCTCCTCAGCGCCGACGGCAACACTCTCCTGACTGAGAAGACGCAAATCCTACAGCGATGGGCCGAGCACTTCCGAGGCGTCCTCAACCGCCCTTCCGTCATCTCCGACGCCACCATCGCCCGCTTACCGCAAGTGGCGACCAACGCGGACCTCGACCTCCCGCCATCTCTCCAGGAAACGATCAGGGCCGTGCAGCAGCTCTCCAGCGGAAAAGCACCCGGATCGGACGCAATCCCTGATGAGGTCTACAAGCACGGAGGTCCCCTACTGATGGATCACCTGACTGCGCTCTTCCAGGAGATGTGGCGTCAAGGTGAAGTCCCGCAAGATTTCAAGGACGCAACTATCGTGCACCTATACAAGCGAAAAGGGAATCGCCAAGTCTGCGACAACCACCGCGGCATCTCCCTACTGAACATCGCCGGGAAGATCTTCGCTCGCATCCTGCTCAACCGCCTCAACATCCATCTGGAACAGGGCCTTCTGCCGGAAAGCCAATGCGGCTTCCGTCGTCATCGTGGGACCACGGATAAGATCTTCGCAGCCCGCCAACTTCAGGAGAAGTGCCAGGAGATACGGACCCACCTGTACTCTACCTTCGTGGACCTGACGAAAGCCTTCGACACGGTGAATCGTGAAGGACTGTGGAAGACTATGCAGAAATTCGGCTGTCCGGAGCGATTCACTCAGATGGTGCGTCAGCTGCACGACGGTATGATGGCGCGAGTCACGGACAACGGAGCTGTCTCAGAGGCATTCGCAGTGACCAACGGAGTGAAGCAGGGCTGTGTGCTGGCGCCTACCCTCTTCAGTCTCATGTTCTCTGCCATGCTGATGGACGCCTACCGCGACGAACGCCCTGGAATCCGCATCGCCTATAGAACGGACGGTCATCTCCTGAATCGCCGGCGCATGAACTTCCAATCGCGTGTATCCACAGCCACCATGCACGAACTCCTCTTCGCCGACGACTGCGCCCTGAACACCACCTCAGAAGTGGAGATGCAACGGAGCATGGACCTATTCTCCGCCGCCTGCGAGAACTTTGGGCTGGTTATCAACACGCAGAAGACGGTGGTGATACATCAGCCGCCTCCCAACTCAGCCACAGCCCCCAACGCGCCGCAAATCAACGTGAATGGGACTCAACTGCAAGTGGTAGAGAACTTCCCGTACCTGGGCAGCACGCTCTCCCGCAACACCAAGATCGACGACGAAGTCGCCAACAGGATCTCGAAAGCCAGTTAAGCCTTCGGTCGCCTCCAAAGCACAGTTTGGAATCGTCATGGTCTCCAACTGAGCACAAAGCTGAAGATGTACAAGGCCGTCCTCCTGCCGACGCTACTGTACGGAGCGGAGACCTGGACGGTGTACACGAGGCAGGCACGTCGACTAAACCACTTCCACCTCAGCTGTCTCCGCCGCATCCTGAGGCTGAACTGGCAGGATCGCATCCCCGACACCCAAGTGCTGGAACGGACGGGAATTCCGAGCATCTACTCCATGTTGAGACAAATGCAGCTGCGCTGGAGCGGCCACCTGGTGCGCATGGACGACGAGCGACTACCCAAACGACTCTTCTACGGAGACGTCGCGACGGGTTCTCGTCGTCAAGGAGGCCAAATTCGTCGATACAAGGATACTCTGAAGTCCTCCCTGAAGCGCCTGCACATCAACCCGACCAACTGGGAAGAGCTCGCCCGCGATCGTCCGACATGGAGGAGAACAGTGAAGACGGGCGCTGCTATCTACGAAGCCCACCGCATCGCCGCCGCCAAAGTGAAACGCGAAGTCCGCAAATCACAACTTCGCCCAATACGCAACGCCGCCGCACAACCTCTCCCTACGTGTCCTCGATGTCAACGGACATTCCGGGCACGAATCGGACTTGTTGGACATCTTCGAACCAACTGCACCTCTCGAACTGCTCCAGCCATCGTCCCCGCGCCCGCCTCTTCCTCGTCCTCTCTTCCGCCAACTAACTCTGACACTCCTTCTGCACCACCACTTCCATCCTCCTCCTCCTCCACCGCCCCAACGGTGGCCGTTCAGGCTACCGTCTCACACATCGCCAACCACGACACAGCAACCGCAACCACCCCCACCTGCCCTCACTGCGACCGCACCTTCACCTCACACAACGGCCTGGTCGGTCACTTGCGAATCCATCGCACAGAGAATGGTGAACCAGTGCCTGGAGCACCAACCTGCACCCACCGCACTCGCCTCCACTGCCCACAATGCCCTCGCACCTTCCGGCATCGCATGGGCCTATTCGGCCACATGCGCATCCACGAGAGCGGAATTGACCGCAGCCTTAACACACCCACCCCGCCGAGCCCCACTCCCAATCCATCACCTTGTGCACCCACTAACCACTCCCCAGCCGACATCGACGCCACCGACCTTACCACCCCTCACTCCCTCCCTTCCTCCTCCACCCCCTCCTTCACTGCCACAACGACGGCCACTCCGGCGTCTGTAGCGCACGACTTTACCACAGCCGCACCTGACACAACAACAGGCACAACCCCTGCAACCTCCATCAACAGATGTGAGGGCCAGGACTGCATCTGCCCTCACTGCGATCGCACCTTCACTTCACGCATCGGCCTGGCCGGTCACTTGCGAATCTATCGCACAGAGTCTGGCGAACCAGTGCCTGGAGCACCAACCTACACTCACCGCACTCGCCTCCACTGCCCACACTGTCCTCGCACCTTCACGCATCGCATGGGTCTATTCGGCCACATGCGCATCCACGAGAGCGGCATTGACCGCAATTCCGATACAGCCACGACATCCAACACGCCCAGAGCCATCCTCGCCCCACCGTCACACGCGCCGACCACCACCACTGCCACCACCATCACCACTGCTTCCTCTACAGCTGACACCGACACCGCCGACCTCTCATGCCCACATTGTCCACGCACCTTCACCTCACGCATCGGCCTGGTCGGTCACTTGCGAATCCATCGCACAGAGACTGGCGAACCAGTGCCTGGAGCACCAACCTACACCCACCGCACTCGCCTCCACTGCCCACACTGCCCTCGCACCTTCACGCATCGCATGGGTCTATTCGGCCACATGCGCATCCACAACGACCTGCGGTAGACAACCGCCGGTCACACCACACATTCCCTCACTCCCTACCTCCTAACACCATCACCCCACCAGACGTCAACCCCCACACACCTCATGCACTCAACTGCCGCCTCCCACGCAAGTGGGAAGTGTGCATCTCGACTCGGTCCCCATGCGGCCTCGGCTGCACGGGTGACTTGAGTCCGAGCCTATCCCGACACGTCAAGTGTCGTGAATAGGAAGGTTGCTGATTGACGCCCGTTCTCGGTTCACGCAGTTCGTCACGTTGTGTGTGTGTGTGTGTGTGTTGTGTAGTGGCGGACTGGTGGGCCGGGGACGGGCTGAAGCAGCACCTTCCACGGCCCTCTCACGCAAGTGGGAGACACGCCGTTCAACCCCCGTTGTGTGAAATCCTGGTGTTTGTGTGTATGGGGGGGCCAGGTCGTGCTGTGGCGCGCGCAGGCATGGTCAGTCGACCATGTCAGCCACCGCGCCCATTCCCCACTCCAGTCTACTGACCGGCTCGGACAGTGGCTGGGGTGTGGGAATGGGAAGGGAGAGTGAGGTCGACGACTCAGCGCATTTTCCTCACTATAAACAATCTGACGCGCTTGAAGCTATCACGGTGCGCTAAAAGCCGTGGCTTGGAAGGTTGCCAACTGACGGGGTACCTTGGACCTCCTCCATAACGGGAGGCGGTCTGAGAGTCAGGCTGCAATGGCTCCTTTTTAATGTGGCCTTTATGGCACTCCCACCACAGTGTGGGATCCGAGCCAGGCGTTGGCGGCACGCCCAGGTGCGGCTTCGGCCGTGCCAGCCTCCAAATCTATGTTGTGTTGGTCCAAATCCTGGTTATTGTTGTGTGGACCAGGGGGTGTGGTGGAACGCCAAGGTGAGGATCCGTCCGAGCCATCCACCTGCGGCCTCCCTTGTCTCCGGTCTTCTTGACTCTGTCTTGACACCGGGCCCAGGCGGGGGAGGAGGAGAGAGTGTAGGTAGATGCTACGCAAGTCTACTGGCACCATAAACCCCTGCGTAAGTCACCGTCCCTGCTCCCACCGCTGCTGCAGCTGTGGGGCACACGGTGGACATCGTCGAAATCGACGGTCGAACTGTCAGACAACACCTCAAGGAAATAAACTTAGGGACCAGTTCCTCATTCGTAAATTCAATTCTGTCTGGTTTACTTTGCGCGTCCGGCCTACAATAAATTTAGGAATTCGAAAAATCTCAAACAGCATTCTGACTGCCGAGACGGCATTTGCTAAGCGATTCATTCCACAGATCCACATAATACAAAATCAGTCCCAACGTATTACTAGGTGTTCTTCCCTGTACCGCATAATACATTTGACGTAAGTGTGATAAGCATGGATGGCGTCTTTTGGATTCCGCCTACGACAATAAAGTTAAGGCTAGAGCAGCAAGTAGGCTGTAATAAACAACTGCGATAATGCGTCTGCAAGGGAAGACGAGTTTTTTGTTAATCTTGACACAGGTTGCTGCAGCCTCTGGAATTTATTTAACCTGATAAAGTTGGCTGACTGTCCAAGCAGGATTTTCTAATCCATCCAGAATCTACCCGAGATATGCATCGATCAGTTATTATTTGCGCGCTGGCGAGAGATCTGAATAATATATTTGACACGCATGTTGAATTATAGGCTGCTGCTGCTGCTGCTTTCCTTGGATTGGGATTTTGGAGGGCAAGCACAAATTTTTGCACATTCAAAGCACTTACATGGCTGGCTTTGGTGTGAAGTCAACTCTGAAATGCATAATATGCACGCAAGTGCAGCTGCAGCATTCAGAATCCACCAACTATCCCGATGTATGTTTAATGTCCGTCCGGGGTTTACCAAAATATCTGTATGATTTTTGCTATGTTAGCCGATATTTCGGAAATCCTTTTGACTGCGACAGGATGACTTAATTACCTTGCAGTGGATTTTTATATTAATTTTGTTTCCTCATTTTACAGTTTTTTGTAACAGACGTTTTCGTCCGTCTCCAAATTAACCGCTTAGATAACGTGACGTTTTTCTTTTTATTTTCGATATAACTATTAACTCAAATCATATCTCATAGAAAACATCCAAGTTCATATTTATTTTTTACTCCTTTGTCAGGAAATCAGATCGTCTTTAAATTTTATACCTGAAAGAATCGTGCAATTCGGTTTTATGAAGGTTTCTATTTAGCAGACATTTAAGGGCAGTCGAACGTCCGTTCGTAAAACCCCATGTCACAACATTTACTAATATTGCTTGTAAAGTTTAAAATATTGTTCAAATTCGCTGATAGATTACATGAACTACACATGGTCTCCTCTCAGTACTGCAAAGAAATGTATTGTTATCCGTACACGAAAAATATACAACTTGCATTTCTGAAGTCATGATTGCGAGCGTAACTGCAGGTCGGATTTAAACTTATTCGAGACTTGGAAAAGTTTTATGACTGAATTATTCTCTTCGTTAAAGTATACTATAGAGCTAGGCGTAATTTCGTACGAAAGGAATAAAAGAATGAGCACATGTAGAGACGCAGGCGCTCTGTCTTCCGTGACCAACGCCGACCCAACCTCCTGATGGCTGTGGTGCGGGCACAACGTACTCGACGTACAAAAATTTTTCACAGCCTATGCCCCCCCTCCCTCGCCCACTTTACTCAATGACCACGACACGACGACCACGCCATAGCACGCCGCGTCATGCGAGTGCGTGCGAACGATGATTGGCATGGGAACGATGGGTGTTAATAGTTTCTGAATCAAGTATAAGCTCTGTAACTTTGCATAATTTAAACTTCTATGTAACCGTGTTGGCCTGATGAAGAGTTACCGAAAACACCTGTTTGCCAAATTGAATTTTCATATATATTTTTATGTACAGAGGCACTCAAAATTAATAAGACAAATACATACTATATATATAACCTGAGGAAAAAGTGGCGAGCTAATGTTGCATTCAATAACTTCTCTTTAGGCCGTGCAGGTATATGGGAACTGGATAAAGTGATTGAAAAAATCGATAAAAGTTAGCGTTAAAATACAAGTCAAGCAATAGCGGAAGGCCGCAGAACGTTGTATGTGTTAAGTCAATCTTTGACCACAGTATGCGCGGGGCCTGAACGAGGTTCTTCTAGGCGCATAGGGTTGGTTTTCGTAACCTGATGGCGGCCGCTTCTGCTGTTGTTAACAGGCGCTGACCCAGTAGCTTAGGGTAGCTCAAGGGGATCTTATAAATCAAAGGAATTGCTTCAGAGGGATCCATACGATGGCCTGATTTCATTGCATCCTCAAGCATGGCGTTGTCTATTCTCGCAGTTTCACCTTTTGCAAGCCATGCGGGAAGGTGCCCTCGTATTCTCTTGGAAACGCGCCCACTCGTACGACCAACATAACCTGCCCCACAAGAGCAAGTGAATGAGTAGATGCACATTGAGGTAGTCTGAGGTGGCAGTCTATCCTTGCCTTCCTCGCGTAAAATAGGGTTAGTAGAGAGTGATATGCGAACAGTTGCTGCTGGGAAGGTTATTGAGACAGCTAGATCAAGGCGCCTTCTCAGTAGTTCACCTGCATCGTCTCCTTAGAAAGGAGCGTTGAGTAACAAACTGTCTTTTCGGCTGTCATAGTGGTGGATTTTGTGAGTCGTTAGTTAATGTTTATTTGCAATGAACTTGCCAGGATAACCGTTTTCGCGAAGCAAGTCCTGGATCTTTCTAAGTTCCCCCTTGGTATTAGCTGTCAAGCAAATCATTCTAGCTTTTTTGTGCAAAACACCTGATTAGATTTTGTTCTTCTTGGAGGGGTACGAAATTAACAAACTCCGTTTATTGTCCAGTCTATATTTTCTTCCGATAGACGGTCCTGTAGATGCTACCGGCAGGCCTTCTGTTTAGAGGGACAACAAGAAAGGAAGCGAACCGGTTGAATCCATCTCCAACGTGAATGTGATCGGCGGACGTGCTCGATTTATAGCATTTAAGAGGGCAGCAACGTCGTTCTCTATGGTGGCAATTTCAAAGACATCATTAACGTAGAGAGTGTCATGTTTAAGCTTTCCGATCTGATCATTAAGTTGAAATCTCGCCAGCTTGTCCATGAAGACGTCGGCTAAGCGAGGTTCAAGAGGTGAGCCCATAGCAACGTCGTTTATTTATTTATGGAGCTGGTTGTCAAAATGAAACTGCACAATTAATGTGCACCCTAGAAATAATTCCTTCAATGTGTGCGTCGGCATTCCTATTTCTTGCTGATGTTACCAATAATTTAGGTGACCGAGACTTTTGTAAAAAGTGAGGCGACGTCTAGCGAGAACATCATCATGCACTTAGGGCTGAGATCTTTAATGTCGTCAATGAATTGAAAAGTATCTCGATAGCTGCGTGTTGCCAGCTGATGGTGTATGGGCTTGCGTTTCTCTGTTATCCACTTCATTATCGCATGATACGCAAAGTTCCGCATATTTAGAATCGGACCAACTGTTAAGCCTTCCTTATGGATCTTAGGTAAACCATATATTCAAAGGATATGTGTGCCGACTGGCTTAATTGTGATCGAGGTCACGGTCACTTATGTAACCTTCTGTGTTGAGGCTTCGTAAGTGGTCAGCCAATTTTGCCTCCGTATCATCCGTGCAATCCTTTTCTTTGTCTTCGTTTCTGATTTTCTTCTGGTCACATAATATAGACTGTATCTTCACTACGTAGTCCGGTCTGTACCCCGTTCCCATATAACCGAAAGGAACATTAGCTTGCCACATTGGCCTCAGATTATAGATATGGTATGTTTTGTCTGGCTTTCTTGTAATCTGGCCTTGAATTTGTTGTCGTAGGCGGAATCCAAAAGAAGCCATCCATGACTCTCACACTTACGTCAAATGTATTATGCAGTACTGGGAAAAACACCTATTAATACGTGGGGAATCATTTTGTATCATGAGGATCTGCTGGATAAGTGCTTAACTAATGCTATCTGGGCGGTCAGCATGCTATTTGAGATTTCTTGAATTTCTTATTTTATTATA